GCACTTGACCCCTGCTTACACCTATATGCCGTGAGTTGATTATCGAGCCTTCATTGTAAGGTACACTGTGTATTTGCGTGGGGAGTGTTGCAGTAGAAAGTTCCACTGTAGCGACCGGTACATTAATGGGAAACCCTAAATGTTTGAGCACCCTCTATGNACTGCAGGCAGTTTGCTTTTCAGCCCAACGGTATACTGTTTTTCTCAGACGCGGAGGGATACTGACTTGTTGTGAAAAGTAACTTACAATTCTACCCGTGGTATACGCTCAGTATATCACGGCTAAGAACCAATCAGATTGCTTGATTTGACTTGTCCGTTTTATAAATATATATATATACCTAAAATGCAAGACATTCTAATTTCTCAAATGGGAGGATTTGATCATTTTTTATTATTTACATTATTGTAAATTGAGTATCTCTTGGTTTTGGACTGTTATTGGGATGCTAATGGTGATGAACTTTATCTAACATTTTATTTTACCTCGTTGCATATCATACCTCTTTCTCTGGCATTCTTTTCAGTCTGCCAATATACTGTCCTATTTAAAAAGTTTAAAAAAATCAATAATAGCAGCCTTGATATTTTCACTGACACTTTTTTTTGGTAAACTTTTCCATACTTTTGCTGTTCACTTCAAATCGTTATCACTTTGTAGATAAAAAGTTTGGGCTCAATTAATTCAGTACACAACGACTTTAGTCATCCCTATCTAGGTCAACTCTGTGTGACAGCTTGAAAACATGCATTAGCATTATTGTGGTGTCTCAGAGGGAGGAGGAGCTTCTGCCATCCAGACTCAGGAGGTGGAGAACAGTTCAGTTTGATCCCAAGTGTGCATTTATTATAACAAGTCGATTTCATTTGTATAACACATTTCATACACAATAAACTCAATGTTCTTTACAGTAAAACAGGAGATAAAAAACACATAACTACAATATGCAATACTCCATATAAATTACTTTTGGAGTATTTTTATAAATTAATTCCGCCAACCACCCAACGCTCAAACCCAAATACATAAATATTTGATATGTATATTTTGTATTGTTTATTATATATTGACATACTTGCTCGTAAATAGATATTTTGTTACTGTTGAAATGTTTGTTTATTTTGTATTTTATTTTTATTTGAATATTATTTTATTTTATGTTTTACTCATGCGAATGCCTGTTAACATGCTGCCGAGACAACACAAATGCCCAATTTGGGATGGATACAAATATATCTAATTTAATTTTAAATAATGTTCTTTATAACCTGTCCTATTCCTAATTTATGCACCTTTGGTTACGTTTTTAATTCTAGGTTTATTCGGGAGACACTTACGATGAGGGATCTGATCAGTGAGCAGTACAGAAATATATTTAGGGTCCATAACATTTAGGGACTTGTAGACAAACAGACATTCTTTAAAAATCCATTCCATGATATACCTGAAGCCAGTTGTTTATTTCAGTACAGGTTCAATGTTTTTTTTTTTTCTTTGTTTAGTTTATTCTTCAGAGATCCACTGGTTGATGAAAAGATCATTTACGTGACTGAGGTTGTTTAAGTAAAGTGAGTTTCTCTCCAGGGTGGTTGTTACTGTTTGATTTACCATCGTCTTAATGCTCCCCAGATTGCAGGCTCGGATTGCTCATCGAATCCAGGAGCTGGAAAGTTTGCCCGGCTCTCTCGCCCCCGACCTGAGGAATAAAGCCACAGTGGAGCTCAAGGCCCTGCGTCTGCTCAACTTCCAGCGGCAGGTACACAGCAATGGCTCCACTCATGTTCAACATGACCGCACAGAATATTCATCTACTCAGTTGATGTATAATTCACAGTTGATGGAGTCAAACATTTACCCTGTCAGGACACATTGCTTGGCTCCCAATTGATTCCTTACATTAAATCTAAACAGTAGGCGTTAGTTGTCTGAGTTGACTTTTAAATTACATTTTATTTTCTTATGATACAAAAGGGTAAAAGAGATAGTTCAAATTCGTTTTTCCTGTATAATATTGTAATGAACACAATTATGCAATTTTATTTGTATTGTAGTGATATCTAGACAGTTTAGTTGTTTATACACCTTCATTTACTTAGCCGTAGTTGCTATGAGTCCCTGCAGTTACAGCTGTGTGTTATTGTTTTACAGAATAACTCAATGCACGTAATATAAAATAGTTAGTTACAGGGTTGCCATAAATCCTAAATAACAATGGTTTACCATTTTCCAGTCATTGAAAACACAAATTATTAGAATTTTGTCCTTGGAAATTATTTAAACATGTGGCTTTTTTTCTTTAGTTTAGAATGAACTCCTAGATTACCTAGGTAAAGGTAAAGAAATGGATTCAAGTATGGCGTGTTTCCTGTCTGTGATACCAGCTGCACAATCAAGGAAGATGTCCTGGGAGATTCTCTGTAGAAAAGGAAACCGTATTTAATTGAGTGTTTCTCGTTTTGCTCTCTGCCACACGACACTTCTTAATCTTTACCTTTTTTAAGGAAAATAACTTACTAACTTAATTGAATATCTCAGGCTATTACACGTGTAATGATGTCTCATAAGCTTCCGATGGATTCGATTTATATCAATTCTGCCTGCGATATAAGTTTACTGCTCACATGTACAGTTCTGACATTATTGATACATCCAATCTATGCCTATCTCCAGCTGAGACAGGACGTGGTGGCGTGCATGAGGCGAGACACCACCCTGGAGACGGCCCTCAACTCAAAGGCTTACAGACGCAGCAAGAGGCAGACGCTGAGGGAGGCGCGCATGACGGAGAAGCTGGAGAAGCAGCAGAAGCTGGAGCAGGAGAAGAAGCGCAGACAGAAACACCAGGTGATCCACAGTGTTCGTAAACATGTTCAGAGAGGAGCAGAAGTGGTTCCAAAAAACAAAAATTGTCCTGTGTAGTCTGGTGTGAATGCCCTCGAAACAAGAGGTATCATCATAACTAAGATTTTGATTGAAAATGCTATTATTAGAGCTGATGTTTAAAGATAAAGAAGAGAAACACGACAGCTATCAGAAAGATTGTTACTTAAAAGTCAACATCGACAGTTACAACTAAACCTGCGTGATGACAGAGAAAGTGGAGTCTGGCATCACAATGCTTCATTATTTCACTAGTATGCAATGTTGTGAAAGTCCTTCTAACACTTTGTTACTTGCTTTTCAGGAATATCTCAACAGCATCCTTCAGCATGCAAAGGACTTCAAAGAGTATCACCGCTCGATTTCTGGAAAAATGCAGAAGCTCACCAGATCCATCGCCACCTGGCACACCAACACAGAGAGGGAGCAGAAGAAGGAGACTGAGAGAATCGAGAAGGAGAGGATGAGGAGGCTCATGGTAAGGACCTGAAAGTCCAAATATATATTATATCACACCTTTAAGAAGTAAATACTTTATATCCCTAAGAGTTTTGGAGATGAAAGACACACAGAGGGACAACTTGGACAAGGATTAAATAAATACATTAGTTTCAAAGCACTTCTTACCCTAGCTTTCTACCACACAGTTAAAACATTTCTTGTAAATCTTAACTTAAAAATTAATAAATTGAATCAACTCATATATAAAACCAAAGCTATTTGTCACTGCAAACCCCCCAAAAGCATTATAGAGCGCCTTTATCTATCATATTACTTTTTCAATGAAACTTTGAATATTTTTCCAATCCAAAATGTGTTTATATCACTATTGAGGAATTCATCAAAATATAAGAACTACTTTATGATCAACTAGAACAAATATGTGGGTTTTATATGGATTTGAGCTTTTGTTAGATTGATGTAAGGAACTTGTCCATAACACAGCACAATAATGAACATCCTGTCCCCCACTCAGGCAGAAGATGAGGAAGGCTACCGAAAGCTAATTGACCAAAAGAAAGACAAGCGTCTGGCCTACTTGCTGCAGCAGACGGATGAATACGTGGCTAACCTCACCACCCTGGTGTACGAACACAAAGCTGCCCAGGCTGCCAAGGACAAGAAAAAGAAGAAGAAGAAAAAGAAGGTAGGAATAGAAAAAGGTCAGGTGGTTCTTTTTCACAGAAATCTTCTTTAAATGCCTATGGATATTTGATTTGTATTCTACTAGGTTCTGAAGACCCAAGGTTTTACCTTGTCTGAGTCAGAAAGAAAAACATGAAAAGAGCAAGTGCGCCTCTCATCACCTTCTGCTAGTGGAGTGTGAGACTGAGCGTTGAGCGGCCCAGACCAAGCAAGGAGGCAGAGACAGAACGTCCAAAAATGTAACCCGACGTGGGCATTTATTCAATGATGTGCACCAAGTTCACAGCTTCAATCGTGCTGTTTTCCTTTCTCACATCCTGTAGCCACAAGGATCTCACACACACTCACTCTCCCAGCACTACAAGAAACAGCACTTAAATATACAGACTAATTAGACACAGGTAAGGGGGGAGCAATTAAACACAGGTGAGGGGGGAGGAGACAACCCAGGGGCCTAGGTGCACACAATCATCAGCCACAGACATTCAACATATTATTTGCACCCTGATTACACTCAACCGCTGTCATCCTTATCCCAGCATCCAGACGACATTTCAATAAATACAGTTTAATCAGTTAAAAAAAATACTACTTCAATAATTAGTATAAATTATGTGCAAATACGCAATGTTAACTGTAATGTGCAATCACGCTAATAAAGTGCAATATCACCCGGCCCAAAGCCGTCAGTCCACAGTGACGAAGTCGTCACATGGAGTATGAAGCCCTCTGTATCGCGAATGTCAACGTGGGGGGGGGGTTGCTAGTGTGTGAATGTCAACGGGGGGGGGGGGGACCACAGAGCGTGTGAACGTTGTGATCAGCTGTTTTAGCGCAGTGCTGCTATACAGACCGACGTTAACAACAGTCTGTGCACACGGAAACCGACTCTGTCGTCCGGTGATCTAACCGCCTTGTCTTCACCCACCCTGCGCCCACAGGGTGGGTATCAACGGAGTGACAGTCTCTTATATTCGAGTTTACTCGAAGGTTTAAGCGAGACCGCAGAAAAAACAGTTGATTCGGCTCCTGCGTCTGCTGTTTCAACTGTATGAGGGTGATTTCGTCTGGGTACGAGAGCAAATCAAAGAAAGAGTGTACGGACCGTCGATCCGCGCACCGAGCTGCACGTGCTCCTCTCCCTTCCCTTAATCTTGTCACGAACTCTCCCCGCCTGACGTCCGCCGACGTCTATGTCCTCACCTTCGTCTCTTCTCTCGCGTTCTTGTGTGTGTGTGTATATAATTTTGTCTCTTTGTCTTGATAAGAGTGTGTCTTCTCTATATATGTCTTGTATTAGGATATTATGTTCTATGATTTACTTGTCCTCCTTAGCATGGCAAAATGCGTCCCATAGCGCCATGAAAGTGTCATAGCCTATGGTGGATGGTATCTTGTGATCAGTGACGTAGTTAAACTCTTGGGGACTACTACTCCACTAGGTACCTTATTGCAATAGTGTGTGGTTGAGTTGACTCCACCGTTGTATACACAAGTAGTGTTCGGAATCTTTGTACTGTAGTACAAGTAGAGTTGGTCCCCCGGTTCTTCCCGACTGTCAGGACGTTCCGACCAGGGCAACACGGTCAGTTTTCTCGGGTCTCTCACAGTGCACTAACTAAAGACGGAGTTAGTGTGCTTCCACACTTTACTACAGCCCATACACCATAAGAGTGGGGTGTCACAGTGAGCCTAACTGGTAGTGGCATTCACAAGATGACCTTTATTATTGGTACTTCCACTCAAATATGTCGTCTCCACGTGTATTCACATTGCGTGTACGCATGCGTAGGCGCCGTTATTTAGACTTTACGCAATGTCAGTGTAACACATGTTTCGCGTATTAACGTCGATGGACTGCATGAACACTTNCCCTAAATGTTTGAGCACCCTCTATGAAATGTCAAGCTACCCCACAGCACCCCCAAAATAAATCTCTGGCGCCGCCACTGAGCCTGACTTGTGTTGGGGGGGCCCGACTTTTTTTTTTTTCCAAAGGGGGGGCCTGACAGAAAAAGTTTGAGAACCACTGCCATAACTAAACCTTAAGCAAGGAGCTTTTGTTATCTAAACCTAATCGTATGCTAGTCCAGTCAAAGCCCTGCACTCTGAATGCCTACCACCCACCCCAACCCCAGCCCCCCTGGTGGATCAAACTTCTGCTTGAACGTCACTCAGTAATAACGACCTTGATCCAACTCTTCAAGGAGCTCTGGATCAGACCTTTAGTGCTCATCTCATTGCAAAGCTGTTCCAGGTTCTATGGATGTCAGCTGTGGATGTCTCACTTGAGTTCTGTCCACAGCATTTCTATCACGTTGAGGTCTGGCTTTTATTTGGCTAGAGTGATCAATGATTGTTGCCCATGAATCGGCAAAGCAAATGAGGTAGCAAAGCAGTCCAATCAGGGTTGGGGAGTGTCAAGTGCAGAGGTTGCGCTAGAATTGTTCGCTGCTCGTCATTTTGACGGACAGGATTGTAACATTTCCGTCAAAATCCACTATTGGCTGTCGGTCTCTACAACTCTGACTGGGGGGGCTTGTGAACTGTCAACGGAGGGAGGGAGAGAGAGAGGGAGGGGCGCACGCTCGTGAACTGTTAGCGCTGTGTTATACATACCCACTGCACCTCGCGGGAGCGCGCCACACGCCACAGCGTAAAGCAAAAACTCACAGACATTTCAATGATTTGTACGGCGAAGTACGGTTTGGAAACGATACAATTTCCTTTTTGGCGGGCATGCATAACACCAGAGTCTTGCTGCGGGGAAGCTTTGGCGCTGTTCTGAGTTTGTTCTAATCTGTCAAAATGACGGACTGCTTTCAAGTTTTTCCGTCATTGTTAAAAAACAACTTCATAGACGGAAAATATTCGGTTAATGCGACCTCTGGTTAAGTGTTCAGCTTTCCACCTCCACATTGTCGTCAAATGCCTGGTTGTTATCTTTTTTAAAGGTAAGATACCTGTACCAACAACAGTAGCTTTACATTGATACCAATACGAAAGACTACTTCATCTTTTTTTCTACTTCATTTGGCAACTATTTTGTGGATGGAGGCTATGTTTGTGTCCGGTGGCTACAGACCCGGCGTCATGGGCGGGCCCCATGGGGCCGGGCCCGCCCATCCAGGATTTGGGCCCGCTGTTTTAATCAGGGCTGAATACAACATTTTAATTGTTTTATTATTATGTTTATTGTTGTTATTTGTAGGGCTTTGTCCTAATATTTAATTTTGTTTTAAACTATGTTGAAAGATTAGTTTAATATAATTTTTTTATTTTGCTATGAAATTCTGAATGAAATTCTGAATGAAAGGCTGCGCGCGAGACTGGTTTTTCGCTGGGTTGAGTCGTGTGGGTTTTTGAGTGAGATGCGGCGCAGCAGCCTGTCAGTTTACTCTTGCTAGGTTAGTTTGGCTATTATCATTTAAATGTATCTGCAACAATGGATATCAGGAAGTGGTTCATGAAAGGAATATGGCAACTCAGCGCCAGATGCAGGCACATTAGAAGACATCAGTTACGTTACCAACGAGCTAACAAGCCAGCCAGGGACAAGGGAGGCTGGCAATCAATTATATTTTGAAGAGAAATTGACTCTCAAGCCGGCTCTCTCACAAACTCCTGCTCTGTGCGCAAGCAGACCGCTGCACACTCTCTGCCTCGCTCAATCTCTCTCTCTACCTTTCTCTCGCTCAACCTCACTCCATCTCTCCACCCTGTGTGCACTCCTCAAGTTTGCCTGCGTGCTTCCCCAAGTTGGCACAGCGTTACAAATGTGCCACAAAACCAACCAATGGATGTAGCCTATAATAACACCGTTGCCTTATGGCAACCTAAAACCCCTCTGTTTCCGTAACAACAATTCCCCCACCCCTCCGTTGACAAATCTCGAGCATCTAACATTTAGATTTTTGTTGAAGATCTTTGGGATTACGCTGCAATCCTTCCCACTTTTATATACATCAGTTATTATTAATCTAAATTCTTCTGCAAGGTCTTTACTTCAAGGCAGGTTCACATCAGATGAGGTGTCTTGTGAAACCTAAAAATTTCTTATCACTTAAAAAGTAGCTCTAATGCACACATCTAGACTCGTTACACTGATTTGACACCAAGTTTGCAAATTACTGAGTTAATTTAGCCTTTGTGATTAGCATTAATTGTACTTATAGTTTATGCAGCCTACACTTGATGTAATGAAGTGTTCAATACAGTAATTGTGTGGTATTTTAAAAATGATTGTGTTTGTTTTTTGTGTTAACTCAGTAAAAGATTAGGCCATATTTTAAAAGCTAATGTTTAAAACATTTCAAGTAATTAAACGGTTCACTCTCTTTTTCTTGGAACTGTAAATAGGCACTTTAGCTGCTGATCAGTCACTTACTCTTAAATGTATGTGTGTGTTTGTGTGTGTGAAAAAACCACTACAGTAACGGTCCTTCAGAGGCACGCTGCAGTACCCAGAGCCGTGATCAGTCAGGGGAGAAATCCATCTGCACTTCATCAATCTGATCAAATGACAGTGGACACACAGTGAGCACCGCGCTCACAGCCATCGCCACCCACTTTACTTATCCTGTGGATTTGTTGAAGCATCACCATCCCAAGAGAGAGGGAACTCAATGGAAGTTAAACCTATACGACCAACCTTATGATGGCTCCATGTTTGACCAGGACAGTACTTAAGCGATGAGCCACTCAGGGCCGAGCGTCCGCGTTTAAAAATGCTAATGGAAACAGTAAGGCAGGATTCATATATATTAAAAAACGTTTGGTTTTCACATATAAAATGTACAAAATGACACAACGAGTTCAATAACGTATTGTCACAAAACATATGCTTTGTAATTGACAGCAGGGTTAAGTACCAACTTATATTTTCCCATTGACTGTGGCAAGCCCTTACCGTTAGTTCAGAATATCTCAGAGTTGATAATGTGTTTTACACTCACAATTATTTATGCTTATCTAATGTGTGCAATCACCTTGCAGTTGAGGTTTTTACAATGTTTTGAAAGCAGCGTGTGTGAGTCAGTGTTTTTGAATCACACTTTTGCTACTTTTATTCAAATAAATATGTTCTTCTTGTGAGTGTGTAAATCATTGTAGATATAACATCACATGTTCTGATTATATTGAAAGTCTGATACCCTGAGACTAAAACATTCAACATTAAAGCTTCATTTTTACC